TGAGAAATATCAGTGCTACATTATGATTAATGACACATTTATTAGAGAAACGAAAATGTGTTTTCCATTAAAGTCTGAGTTAAAGCTGTTATTCTCTTTAAAAACTTCAAAATATATCCATAATTGTTACAAAAGGAAGTTATTTTAGAATTAAACTCTTCAGTTATAATCCTATATAGTGGACCTACAAGCTTAGAGGTTCTGATTTGACAATGACTTCAGCCAAAAGTTACCTAATAAACTGGCAACTCAGCATATAGAGATGATTGAACGTTCCATTTTGTCCCTCCCAAAACAATCATAACACCACCGAAACCTTTCCAAATGTTTCAGTAGTGACTGTTTCGGGAGTGACAATTTTAGCCAATTTTGAGCAGAATTCAAAAATGCTAGCCAGTGCATGACCAACAAACACAGCTTTGTACAGCTGTACACACATCAAAGCATCATATTTTTATTAAAACACACAGTTTTTTGTTAATTGCAGAAAATCTGTGTTTCAGTAGTGACAGTTCTTAAAGTTCCAAACTGAGTTTCAGACTTTTTACTTCAAAACAATGGGATCTAACTGCTCACCATGTGGACATGAGGGACAGGGATGCAGCCTCACTCCCTGCTCTGAAATGCAGGGGCGTGGCTAAAACAAGGCTCCACCCACAGACTAAAACCCTGTGTTTGAACAGTGACATTAAAACGTGGGACAGCATTTTTTAAATTAGATTTTTTATTTGAAAATGAAACTCATGATATATCTAAATCTTTTCAAATCGATACTCTAAAAAATTGAAAACAAATGCAAAAAACATATTATATAAATATAAGTATTATTTTGACAAGTGTAAATGTAGGGGTTAGGGTTTGGGACAGACACCTCACAACAGAAAGCATCATGTAAATGATGAATTTGTATATATTTAGCTTTTTACTATCTTTATTAATGCTTTTGTTTAAGTATATTGTAACATAATTCTTGTAAATTTCTAAGGTCTGAAACTTTTTTTTTCTGTGAGCTCAAAGTTTTAACTAATTCAGTGTAATAGTACAGTACTGTGCAAAAAACTATCTATCTATCTATCTATCTATCTATCTATCTATCTATCTATGGTATTTAATTGACTGCACACTTTGCTCCAGTCCTGAAAGTACAGCTTTATGTTTTGTCTCCTTTTGCGCTTCATAAATAAGAAAAGTGAAGAGAATGACAGACTGACATGATGAGTCAGCTAATTCAATCACACTTAAACTGGATCATGTCTTAAAGTAACTAAAACAGCCCAGAGCAGAAAGTATGTGGATGTATTAGGGTAATTAGGGCTGAATGAGGGAGTGGATTAGTGAGAGGGGGTGAGTGAGCTGGTAAGGGGGCGACTATGGAGGCAGTGAGTGAATCACAAATAAAGTCGTGCAGTTGTAGGTCACCAACAAAACCACATGATGGCGCCATTTCAACATTAAAAATCACCCTTTGCCTTCCCAGATTTCCAAAAGTGTCCAGACACCACTTTAAATCAGTGAATTTAGCTTTAAAACTCCAGAATTTTTGGTATTTCTTCTGGTATTTTGGGTCAATTACAATCATAATTGCAATTATAAAGTATTTAAATAAGACAGTCACACAGGCCATATGTTGCCATTTTCGGGAGACCCTGGGCCACTCAGATATGCCATTATTTGACATGTAAATGCTAACAGAAATTTGACATCTTTATCGTCATGTCTGATCAAAAGTTTACCTAGCGCCTGCTAAATTTTGTAAATGTTTTGCTTACAGAGATCTTGATAACAAGTTGCACCACAGTTCCCTTTTCAGAAATTGTTAGTCTGGACTGTCTGTGAGCTGAAAATGCAAGAATGTTGATGGTGATTTATTCTACTAGTTATTATGAGCAAAAATAAACAATTAGCATAAGGCGGATGTTTTTTATTGATTTTCTGTCCTCTTGGATTTGTGCAGAGTCGGAAAACTCTGATACACAGCAAGACAGCCTTTATTTTAATTACAAATTGAGCTGCATATTTAATATCAGATATTTTTAATACTCAAAATCAATGTAAACTGAAAAACAGTTATATATATAATTAATTTTAGATTTGTCATATGTAATGTAACAGTAGCGAGTGGGGTTTGGGTGATTTTGGAGCTGGATCTCTGGCTGATGGACATTCACAGGTGGATGAAATCACTCTGGATGGTGAAGCAGAGTCTGATGAGTGATCTGTTTTGTGAATCATGTCGCTGTTTTAACCCTTTGTTGGAATATGAAGGCCAAAAAGCAGAGCAATAATATCATGATTTTAGGTGATTTTCAGAGCTGACTTACTCAATGATGCTGATGTCATAGCTCGATGCTGTCATGCTTGTTAGTTAGGGGCAGGTCTGCTGAAAGGCCTGATATGTGGATCATGTTTATACCTTAAGCCGTTCTGAAGTTATGAAGGCTAGAAGTGACCCACCGTTTTGCCTGCAAATTGTGAGTCCTAAAGGTTAAGGTCACTCGTTGCTGTTGCTGGCACAGGCCTACAGTCACACACAGCTATGATCTCTATAGAAAAGCATGGAGCTATAGAAGGGGAGGCTCTGGTGCAGCTTGAACCTAAGGTCTCCATGCCCAATGCCAAGTGTTGGATAGAGGGATATAAAGCCCCCCAGCATTGGGCTGTGGAGCAGTGGAACTGTGTTCTCTGGAGTGATGGAGCTCCATCAGTACCTTTGGTATGAATTGGAGTGATCCAGAACATCAATACCTGACCTCCCTAATGCTCAATCAAATCTTCACAGCAATGTTCACACCTCTAGTGTAAAGCCATCCCAGAAGAGTAGAGGCTGTTACTGTTGCAAAGCAGACAAACTCACTATTAACACCCTTTGTTTCAGAAGAAATGCTGGATCTGTGGGCGTCTACAAACTTTTGGACAATAATAAACTTTGAGCTGTTTTTATTCTGTTATGACAGTTATTTTAATGTGGAATCAAAGGTTGGGCACAGAGTTGAAGCTGGGGTTTGACATGTTACACTGAGGCCTATTTTTGTTCCACCTAACACCTCAGATGTCCAGAACCAAAATTTGGCCGTGAGCTGCACAAGTAAAAGAATGGCCTCAAATTAAAAAGATGTAGAGCATGGAGCACAAGATACGTTTCTGGACTGTGTGAATGGTCATTACCCAGTCAAGGGGAATTAATTATTAGTCTGATGGACGCCAACCTTTAAAATAAAAGTGGTTTGAGTGATGATGTGAGAAAGTAAGGGAGTGAGAAAAGCAAGCAAGTGAAGGGATGAGTAAGTGAGTGACTGAGAGAGTGTGAAAGTGTGCAAGGGAAGGAGTGAGGAAGGGAGCTGAGAAAGGGAATGAGAAGGTGTGGGAGTGACACACTGAGGGAGTAAGTCAAGGAGGGAGGGAATGAGAGAGTGAGAGTGTGTGGGAAGAAGAGAGTGAAAGATAGATAAAGGGAGTGAGAGAATGAGGGGGTGAGGAAGTGAATGAGTAAGTCAAGAAGAGAGGGAATGAGGGAGTTAGGGTGAGTGGGAGTGAGCGAGCGAGGAAAGGAGTGAAAGTGTTTTGGAAGAAGGAAGAGAGTGAGGGAGGAAAGAAAGTGAGATAATGAGGAAGTGAGTGAGGGAGGGAGTGAGGGAGGGAGTGAGTGAGTCAAGGAGAGGGAATGAGAGTGAGGGCGAGAGGGAGTGAACGAGTGAGGAAGGGAGTGAGAGTGTGTGGGAAGAAGGAAAGGAGTGAGGGAGAAAGGGAGTGAGAAAATGAGGGAGTGAGTGAGGGAGTGAGGAAAGGAGTAAGAAAGGAGCAGTAAGGATGGAGTGAGGAAAGGAGTGAGTCAAGGAAAGAGGGAATGAGAGAGATTGAGAGAGAGAGAAAGTGAGAGAATGAGGGAGTGAGTGAGTGAGGACGAGAGAGAGTGAGGGCGAGAGAGAGTGAGCGAGTGAGGAAAGGAGTAAGAAAGGAGCGGTAAGGAGGAAACAAGTGAGGGAGAATGAGAGAATGAGGGAGTGGGGGAGTGAGGAAGTGAGTAAGAGTGTGTGGGAAAAGGGGAGGGAGTGAGAAAATAAAAGTGAGTGAGTAAAGGAGTGTGGGAGAGTGTGAGTGAAGAGGTGAATGAACAAGAGAGTGCGGGAGTGAACTAGTGAGTAAGGGAGTGAAAATATGCAAGAAGGAGTGATTGAGTGAGGGATTGAATGAGAGAGTGAAGGGAGTGAGAGAATGAGGAAGGAAAGAGGGAATGAGGGGAGAGGAAGCGAGAGAATGAGCGAGTGAGGAAAGGAGTAAGAAAGGAGCGGTAAGGAGGAATCAAGTGAGGGAGAAATGGATTGAGAGAATGAGGGAGTGAGGGAAGGAGTGAGACAAGGAAAGAGGGAATGAGAGAGTGAGGGAGAGAGGGAGTGAGGAAGTGAGTGAGAGTGTGTGGGAAAAGGGGAGGGAGTGAGAAAATAAAAGAGTGAGTGAGTAAAGGAGTGTGGGGGAGAGTGAGAAAGTGAAGGGGTGAATGAACAAGAGACTGTGGGAGTGAGCTAGTGAGTAAGGGAGTGAAAATGTGCAGGAAGGAGTGATTGAGTGAGGGAGTGAACAAGTAAGTGGGCGTAGGAGCGAGGGAGAGAGTGGATGAGGGAGTGAGCCAGTGAGGGAATGAACTGATTGAATAGCAACAGACTGAGTCAGTGAGGAAGAGGGTGAGAGAGAGTGTGAAGGAGGGAGTGAGATGCATCTAACTTTAAAAAATGCACCTAACAGACGCTCGGAATCTCACTCCGTAGCCGCTCTTGCTGCCAGCTGTTTAAATTCACCCCTAAGTTTGCCCATCACCTCAGTGCTTGCTTAGCCTTCCCCCCACTTACGTCACACTATTACAACCCGGTGTCGTGAGCGACGTGAGAATCAACCAATCAGCGCCTAGAACCTCGTTTTCAAACGTGCGCCTCTGCCCAATCACCGCCGCTCGAAGCCTAACGTGCGCGCCGTGTCCCCGCCCACAGCCTCCTCCCTCCTCTTTTTTTTAAAGTTCCGTAGTGAAGGGAAACGATAACGCACGGGAAGAAAGGGAGAGCGAAAAAAGTGTTCAGACCGTTTAAAATCAGAATCAGAGTCGAGCGTGAAAGAGTGGAGAAGTGCAGCCAGAGTATTTTTTGTATTATATAAACCGTTTCTGGTTGAATATTTAATACGGGTAGCTAATAGCTTGCTAGCTGAACCTTAGCAGCGGCGAGCTAACGGACAACCAAACGACAAAGGAAACACAGCCAGCAAAGCTCAGAGTTTAATAACCAGTTATTTCCTTTTTTAACAACTTACCCGTTTTTGGGTTGGGGCCTTAATTTTTTATTTAGGACACAGAAGGTTATTCGAGACGATAAAAACGCCTGACCTGCTTGAATACACGACAAAAAATATTTAAAAAAAACTTAAAATGGCGGAGCCGGACAAATTAAACATCGACTCCATAATACAGCGCCTCTTGGAAGGTGAGGATTTGTTCATTTTCTGCATATTTCTATGTGTTTTCTCAATGAAAATACCTCAGTTTTTTGGGAGTCTGCACAAATATGTTGTGTTTTATCACGTAATAACGCGTTTAAAAGCGTTATTGTGTTAAAAATGTCCCGTTGTGTAGCCAGGTTAGCTGGCTAGCTTAGGTTGGCTAGCCGGTGCTTGGACCGTTAACGTTGCATTCACGCTTAAAAAGACGATTCTTTTCAGTTTTAAGGGTTCTTCAGTGAAGACTGTGGTTCTGTTTAGGACCACGAGTTCTAAACAGGAGCTTTCCATGCTCAAATGGTTCTTTGCATGGCGAAATGGGTCGTCAGATTGATACAGAATGTGTGTGTATGGGTCTATGAAGAACCTTTCTTAAAAAAATGGTTCTGTGCTGCACCAAAAAGGGTAAAGCTCGACATTTTATAGCAATAGAAGAACCATGTTGGTGCTATAAAGAAAAAGACTCTGTATAGAAACATATACAAGACATTCTCCATCAGTCTGAAGAACCATTTCGCCATGCAGAGAACCATTTAAGCATGCAAATGGTTCTACATAGATCTCGTGATTCTAAATAGAACCATTGACTTTACTAAAAATCCTTGAAGAACCAATTTTTTAAGGTTTGTACGACACAGTGGTTTGATTCCTTGCTGATGGATGTTAACCTGAATAGGATAGGAGATATATATTCTTCAGAAATCTTGTATTTCTATAAAAAACTGAATATTTTAGGGAAAACTACGTAGAAAACCAACGAGGGCTTTCCAAATGATGTAAAAACTAAAAATCAGTGAAATTTACATCATAATATTTGAATATTTGTACCAACCTTGCATTTCCCTAGTTATAGTTTAAGAAACAGCTTGCCGCTGTTATGTTCTCTTACATGAGATATTGAATTTAAAGGGGAATTCCTCCCATTTTTAAAAATATCTGCGTAGTTTAATGGTTAAGATGTAAACAGTCATTCAGAGTGGGTTGGTGTGAAATGCTCTGTTCTAGAGAAACAGTGGTGGTGATAGGAACCAGACATCGACCTCTAAAAGCTCCCTCATAGCAGCCAATTACATGAAATGCTTATGAGTTTGCTGCGTGATGTCTAAGATGTTGCTTTGAGAAGGTCTAAAATATATTTTTAAAAATATAACAATGGCAGAGAGATACATTCAGAGAGTATTAGGAAAGATAGTCTCCAAAGCAAAATTATTTTTCAGATTCACTGCTTTTTAATATCATTTTGTGTAGAAACTCTCATATGGAGGTTCACTGGCTGTTTTGGCATGTAAATAGCAAATTAAACAGCTGTGTTTGAATTGTAGATACTGTCAACCGTGGGTCCCACCCCCACCACTGTAAATAGACCTGCATCTGTAGGTTTCTCTATTTCACATCAAACCACTCTGAATGACTTGAATGAGATGTTTACATCTCAGCTGTTCAATTATGCAGAAATTTTGAGAAATCGGTGGAATTCCCCTTTAAGTTAGTAAAATTAATGCTTTAAATGGCTCACACACTACTCATTGTTCCTGCTTAACCATGTCTCCTGTTTCCTGCTTCATATTATCAATTACTATTATTATTAGTTGTTTAGTTGCTTTTCCTGCAATACTGAGTTAACATTGTCATGAATCTTCCTTCAGGTCTCCTATTTTAATCATTATTTTACTGAGGTGGATCGTATAGCTGTGCTTTAGTGTTTTCCTGATCCCAGCAAACAGTGTTTATAATATAAACTGAACGCTTGGATCAGAGAGACACTAAAAAGTGTAGTACAGGCAAACTTAAGGAGCAGATTTAGGGGGAAAAACATTGTAGACTATTGGAGCTGCACATGATCTCCATTACTGAAATGCGCTCTTGATTAGAGAAGATGGTGATGAGTTTCATAATGAACACAATGCTGCTACTGCGATTGCATTCATGTTAAGAAGTGGAGAGATGAATGCAGTAAATTCATATCCTGGGCATATAGTGATTGACAAATTCAAGGCTTAGTTTGATACGATATGGTAGTTTAGATGCAGCACTTTTCACAATATTGAAAATGTGACTCATTTCCATTTTAGCTTTACTTAGAATGTTCAACATGATAAAAATACAACATTTGAGACTTAAGAATTGCGAAGTTGAGGTTTGCCTGATCCATTCGGACTGCCTTCTTGGCAACAACCCGATACGGACACGTTAGTCCTAATAGAACGTGCTAGTCATGAGACAACAATCCAGTATAGTATCTTGTGATACAATGTGCTGTAGGGGTGGGTGACGTGAAAAAAAAAAATACTTATGTGCACACTTCGCAGTATTTTGACACATGCAAATGTACTAGACTCTCAGAAAAAAGGCGCTAAACTGTCACTGGGACAGGCCCCCTTCTCGTCACTGGGGTGGTACCCTCAATGGTACATCTCAGTACCTTTAGTCAGGAACATAATTGTAACATAATCCACTGAAATTATATTTTCTGAGTTATATTAACTCCACACACCCCGTCTCGTCTCCAGGCTATTTATTTTACTGTTCTGTTTTAAAATATTAGGTCATGAAAAAGTACAAATACATACTTTTCACCTGGGAAAAACTTATGTAAGCCACACAATTGGACCTTAAAACCACTGTTGTACCTTTGAGGGAGCATTTACACTGTTTTTCCCTTGTGAATGAAAAATGTACCTACACAGAACCTTTATTTCTAACAGCGTATTAATGCCACATTAAAGAAATAGTATCTAGAATTATGAATAAAATTATTTTTATACAAAGTTTTGTACGCAACCCTGTGCTACGCTGCACTAAATCCAATTAAGTAGGGCTAATTATGCTCTTTTTGTACTGAAACATGCAGCCAGCCGGTGTTTTTTTTAAGTACTGACGATATCCACAATACGCCCAAAAAAAAAAAGTGTTCGTCACAATAACAATGATGTCATGTTTGCCACTTTTAATATGCTGTATCGTTACAGCTTCTTTCTGTGTTAGTACTGTTGTTAATATTAGTTAATTTGTTATGTATGTTAAGAGATGTGGTTTTGTGAGTGCAGACATGTATGACATACTTAACAAACCAGACGAATGTTGAAGAGAAAGTTATTGTTAAGAGTGGGAGAAGTGAAACAGAAGATATTAGAAGAGATGAGTCTCTACATATCGCTGCTGTCAGACCAAAACCTAATTTCTCCATTTGCAATTTTTAAGTTTTTGACATAATTTGAAAATACCTACTGTCCTTTATATTGTGTGTACATTTTAAGTTGATTGGACCAAAACAAACGGGCCCAAAATGACTTGGAAAAATGTCTGTTTCCATTGACTAACATTAGAAGTAAGGTATGTTTTGTTTTTTTTTCCTTCTCCTGTAAAGTAAACATTGTGGAGATATGAGGTTTTGGTCAGACAGCAGCGATATATATGCAAGACCCGAAGGCATGTAATCTAGTGTAGTTTGGAGTCTGTCTCAGAGTGATAGGAATATGCAGATTTTGATAAAGTAATACAGTGAATCTTATAGTATTGCAAGTTGAGTTTTATGGGATTGCAAAACATCAATTGTTTGCATCAACAGGCTTCAGCGTCGCCCATTTTCAAGCACAGATGTCTATACTGTGCTGTTCTTTCTTGCATGCGTCACGCTGTGAGCGCAGATTAAGTTGCAGGATTGTTTGCTTAGCTGTGTCTTGTGACAAATCAGCCTAATAAGAGAGCCAAAAGCAATGTACAGCGACAGCTGCGTAAAGAGTTACAGTTCTCACCTTTTTTTCAATTGAGGACTGGTATGTGGTGTTAATGTTAAGTGACGATGCTGTTCTTTTAGGTGCAAATGCCAGATTCCGCTAAATATCAGAATGAAATTTGATATATTAGTAAGTCATGATGACTTTTTTGGACCTCAGTTGGTTCCAGTTTTAGTTTTTCTTTGTTTGTGGTGGTAGATAGTACTATACTTGCATACTGGTATCGGAGCTACAGTAGTAGTAGTACTCGTAATAATATATTTTATTGTACAGAGTGAAGTACTGGTAAGTTCTTGTTGTCCCCTTTGCTTTGCCCCATTTGTTTTCCTGCTTTTCATTGCCATTGGCACACCAGAAGTACCTTGGCAGCGTACCACTGTCTCCATGAGCTGAGTAAGGTGTGTTAGAACAGGAGAAACACAATAAGGTGTAATAAGTGCCTGACAGTTTTGTTTTGGATGCTGTTGCTTGGCAGCTCAGGGTTCAAAGTATAAAACCTCTCAGTCTCATATCGCTGATCTAATACGTTTACATGTGGTCATTTGGTGACATGCCTTCTCCAGAGTGGCTCACGACAGCATCGAGAATTTAAAGGAGTCCTAGCTTAGAAGTTTTATCTTAGCTTTATCAAGTACAAGTGTGAGTAACTTCGGGCCGGGAAACATTTCCTTAGTAAAAGATTGCAGCTAAAACCAAAATCTGGTCTGATTTGAATTTAGAAAAAATGGCCCTTTGGCAAGTAAATAGATTTATAAAAGCTTAATCATTCTGTAAGTGCATTTATATATAAATGACTGACTATCAGTTATTAGAAACTGCATAATCTGAGTTATTTTAATGATGCATTGATTTTAAAGGTTTGAAAAAGGGGAAGAAAGTAAACTGACCACTAACAGTGCACAGCCTTTCAGAGATTCCTCAGTACTTCATTGATAAAGACAATCTGAGAAGCCTTAAGAAGACTTCAGATGTTATATGGTTATTTTTAGATGCCCATAAATGCTTGTGGACTTCAGACTTCAGTTTCCTGCTGTAAGAGAAAACTGTAGGAGAATTTACAATCTATCTTACTCTTCTATAAACTGTCAACTGCTGATTTATTGAGAAGGTACATTTTAATAAATTTTCACTTGATTTTGATTCATTGCTTTGCTAGAATAGATCCACAGTGCAGGGCTGGCCAAAGAACAGCCAAGTAACAGTTGTTATTCTTCATATCCTTATTTACACACTTACATGGATCCAAGAAC